CATTTAGTAACTCTTTCTGATACGTGTTCTCTATTAAGTATCACTTTTAGGGTATGTGTTTACATACTTCCATAAATAGTTCATGCATAAACATTGTATGGCTTGGAAAAAAATTACTAGAGAAGAATGACGCTATAGACTGTTAAATTTGTAGTATAAAAAATAGTGATAGGTTGCTGCATCAGTGCGAATTCTGAACTTCTCTCCTGTGAGTGAGTGCACAGGTTTAGTGGTAGGCAGCACTGATGAATTTTAAGTTAAAACAGTGGGGATATACTGCAATATTTTGGTACTTCACTAAGATACAAAAGTAAATCCCATACTTTTCCAGAGTTTGCAAATATTGGAGTTGTCAAATCAGCTGATCTATTACTAGAATACATGTAATTGATATGACAATTAAGATTATGTAGATATCACGTAAGTTATTACTTAGGGTTTTAATTACATTGTTAATTTGGGAAAAATTAGGGGAATTTAATTACCACCACCAGCTTATCTTGGAATAAAGCTTTTTCATGTATTTCTGCTAACAATATGCCAATATTCAGCTTAGTACTTTTTTTAATCCACTAATAAAATATTTTAAGTACTTTAAAAAGACCTCTCACAACAGGTAACTTAAAGGCTGACTGCTTAGGCTAAATTTCACGTTCACAGTTGTCTCTGAAGTTACAATTTGTTTGCCCTTCTGTATGGAGGTCCAGCACAAGATACCTCTGCTTTATGCTGCCTGCTTTCTAGAGCTAGGTGCTGACTGTGTATACATAGGAGGACACCGTGGCTTTTCCTAAATGGTCTCTGCTTAGAAGTACCTCTTGGACTTTGAACTTGGACTCCTGAAGCATTTGTGAGTTGGACTCCGGAAGACCTTGTTCTTTTACCTGCTTTGTCACACCCCACCGCCACAGAATTTCAATTAAACATTAAAACCGAGCAGCTAGCTGCCCACAGGAGTCTTTTTTCCGTATCTGTAGACTGGATTTGTAAGTCTTCACTGGACGATATCCCTGAAACAAAACAAAGTGAAAAAAACATTGCTTGTAACCTCAAAACGACTGACCCATTTTCCCTTATTGGGAGCTAAATTAAGTGTGAACAGAACCGGTTTACTGTTTTGTGCACGAAAGTGCTTTATCGGAAGACGAGGTGTGGTTTTGTCCATAAACAGATGGAACAAAAGCCGTGGAAATTTTTCTTTGAAAAAAAAGGTTGGGGTTAGGGGCAGATGACGGGGCAGATGACACCAAGCTCTGGAAAAACTTTTCTCCCAAAGGAATTTGCTTGAAAGAGTTTGCTGTGAGAAACTGTAAGAGGAGGGTTTATACTGGAAGTTGAATCCTAGCCTGAGCTGTAGTGGTTGCCTCTGCTTCGACTATAAATAGAAAATACTTGTCTGCCAAATTTCAATTTTTACAGCCCTTTTGAATCCATGCCAAGGAAATAATATCTTAATTTGTATATCTGTTTATTTTCCTCCTTCTGTGCATAACTTGAAATGGCAACTTTTATTAGATTTCTTTGGATTAACAAAAGTGCAAAATGAACTTGGATACCATTTTTATGTGGAACGTAAAAAATAGCCCGTAGCTATTTTTTTTTTTTTTCATGAGGGCACTCCCTCGCCCCTGAAATTATTGTGCTTATAATTAAGGTTGCGTCATTTTTTCTTAGCTGCCAAACTAATGTTACCTTGTTTCATGCAGTGTAGACGGCTGCGTGCATCACTTTGTTGCCTTGGTGGCATGTGTCCAAACACTGGATAAAATTAAAGAAATGTTTAAAAATATGTAGACAGGATATCAGCCAATGTAAAATGTTGAGGCAGGCAAGTGGTTGGCAAACACAGGTATTTATTTATATCAAGTTAGAGGAGAAAATGTTGAGTGAACAGCTCGCTCTCCCACAGAGATGATGCTCAAGCTGTGATCTTGACCATCAGGGATGGTTCTTCATTTCGAGAGGAAGGCTAGAGCCTTGTGGTTAAGACTCTTCATTTCGAGAGGAAGGCTAGAGCCTTGTGGTTAAGACCGGCGATAAATGAAGAAGTAATGGGCCACTCTAAGTTTGGGCTTGCCACCGGGCTATGCCTACGCCATCACGCTGGCAGCCATCACCGCCAGGTGGTCAGCCCTCGTCCTGTGTGGCTTGGATCAGGACTGAGGAAGAGGAGGGCATTGGCATGGGACTGGACGCTGGTGGCCGGATCGGATGGTCGAACCATGCTGTGCTGTGGGTTTGAGCTCCTTGGTAGCACCACCAGCAAACAGACGTAGCTCTGCCCTGTCCTAGTGCAGATGCACTGAAGGTCTTAGGAGAGACCTGTGCAGCCGTTTCAGCTCAGGGCTCAAGCTGGTGCTTGAGGCAAAGCTCGTGCCAGCTGCCGGCACGTTGGCTCCCCTGTGTGCTAACGTCTGACGGGTGCAGGGTACGTGACGCAAGTCACACGACACGGTGGACAAGGAGAAGGACAGATGGAACCTCAGGTGTCCTCCAGGAGACGTGCACGGGGTTAAGTGCTGAAACCTAAGCATGGTCATCTCATCCCCAACCTTGCTTCATGAGCGACTGGTTTTGCTACTACTGTTTTCTATGTTGCTCTGCACCCTGGAGGTGTTGCCGTTTTGGCTGGGCTCTGGGTCTGGCTGCTCATCTCAAACTCGGAGCAAGCGTGGGATAAACAAACTGGGCATCTTTGCCAAAGTGCATGTTGGCTTTTTACAGTGGGAGGAGAATAACATTTTAAGTAGGCGAGACTTGTTTGGGAGGAAAAGTCTTGCTGAAGTGGAACTACCTGTGAGTGCATGATTCATACGTGGAGAGATGGATGACTGTAGTTTGATGATGGTGACTGGGAAGATCCGTGCTCTTAAAATGATACATGGGTTTGGCATTAAGTGAATCCTGAATTAAAATAATAATAACAGTGCCTAGCCAGGTTTTCCCTCTAGCCTGATAGATGAGGCTCTCTTCTGGAAGGTGGGTAATGCATGCTGGAAGCCCGTTAACACTGAGAAGGATTTCTAGTCTGTTAATTAAAAGCTGGGTGCTGCTGCTGCCAACAGCTTCCTCCTCTCCTTTCCAATTTGATCTGAAAGGGAGGAGGAGGGAGCTGGTCTCTGGTACTCTGAGGGGAAGTTTTGGGCTGTCAGTCACTTTCAGATACATGGCTAATTTGAGGCTTCATGGAGATGCCTGCACTCCAGAAGCAAGACTAGCTTTCAGAGGCTTTCTTCTCCTCAGCAGCACTAATTCTGGCCGGCGTAGCTGTGCATGGGCTCAGCGTGCTGCTTGCTGTTGGTTTTATGTGGAGCTGCCCGGCTCTCCCTGCGAATTTCACGGCACGAGATGCTGCGCGTGGCCTGCAGACTGTGCTCCAGGAGCAGGGTGCCTGCAGGCAAAGTGTCCTGAAGTTACAGCGTGCTACGTCCCTTTGTATGGGCTGTCTTGTCTTGCTCCTCAGTTTATAAAAAAAGAAATACAGGTACTGATAAGGATATTGGGACAGAGTGTGGCCCTATGCTCTTGGCTTTGACCCTGGAGTTGGTTGGAAACTGAATTTCTGTCCTAGAGAAAATTCCTTCTTCGGAAGGAGTTTTGTTGCAATCAGAGGTAAAAGAGAAAACCACAATGTTTTGGGGGGAGAAATGGCTGAACGTCTTGTGCTGGGAGTACTGAATCACTGTTTTTAGTTTCCTAACTTTGCAGATGGAAGCTGTTGTCAGCTTTACTTCCTCTGGAAGATGGGAATATTCCAGTGAAGCAGCTGCAGACCCATCGTTGCCGTTTTCCCATGGAAAATGTTGATATTATTAAAAGGGCACTTTCTGTCAGAAAGGCATTCTGCCAGACATTTCCTGACCTGGCTTTGTACTTAACCTTTTGTCTCGCTTTCTCCGTCTGTAAAATGGATGTGCTCATTCTCAACCACCTGTGTAAAATGCTGAAATTTGTGGATGAAGTTATGACAACATGGTCTCATTTAAGATTCAGTTCCTTTGAAAGATTCAGCTGCTTTCATGGCAGTTCCCCATGGAGCTAGTCCCATCTCTCACATAGGTAGGAACTTTTAAAATGCAAACATTAAACAAATACAAAGTATATTGTTGTAAAATTACATGCATTCATCTATTCCATCTGTGCAATGTGCAGACGATCCCTTTATTTTACTACTGGTTCTGTGTGTCCTGGGAAGATTACTTCTTGTCCCTCTTCCAGTCTGCTGAAGATATGTTACTTTAACATTTGCTTTGCATAAATTAATCATGCTAACATATCAGGAATATTTTTGAGCGTGCTCCTAAACTGTGATGGCAGATACTTTAGTTTGGGAATCTGTTTTTTTGTTGTTGATACAAAAACAACGAGACAGGAGGAATGAGCTGTATTTCTCATCGCAGTTTTGTCAGTCTATACTTAATTGACCGTAGTGGCTGTGGTATTTCTGTTCAGTCTTTGTTCATCAAAAAAAGTGTGTGTTACCATACTCCAGTAAATCGAAAGCTAATTTGTGATATGAGACGATACTCTTTTTGCAGCAGATGAAACAATTAGCACCACTTCAGTTTAATGTATTCTGCATTTGAGCCAGTTTCTACAGATTATGTGTTTATTCTGTAACTTTGCAGTTTGACAAATTTTGTTACTTTTAAAGAAGTTCTTAAAGTTGTTATGGTAATGTATTGTATGCTTTGGTAGGTTGACAGAGTTTGAAGATACACCGACAAGTCAACTCACCATCGATGAGTTTATGAAGATTGACTTGGAAGAAGAATGTGATCCTCCTTCATTTACAGCTGGTCAAAAAAAATTGAAGATACAGCAGGTGAATACTGAGTCAGATGCTCTCTGTATTTCTCTCCTCTCTCCGCCCTCTGTATATTCCTTTTTGAATCAGTAAATAATAAATCCTAACTGACCAGCCTTTGAGAAGGGTTAGTTACGTTTATTTTGAGGTTCTTAAGAGAAGGGTGAGCATTAGTGCGTATGATACCCATTAACTAAAGGATATTTTTTTGTTTTACTGGCAAAGGGACAGCTTCTCAGTTAAAAAAAAAAAAATTGTTTTTCTCCTATATCATTTTTGCTCCCTCCTCCAGACAGATGTGCTCTTTCAGATATGTAGCTTCAAATGTAGCTTTAAACATCCCGTGATGAGGGATCGAAGTGTGTCTCAGCCGGCCTCTGCAGGAAGCACAGAGTCGCTGCTCTTGTTAGTGCAGATCAGGACATCTGGGTGGCCGCGTAAAAGAGCACCAGCTGAGCTTCCATGTTTTGCAGGATACCAGTGTTTGCTGCTTAGCCTGTGACTGCTGTATTGTAGATGAGGGCTCAGCACACTCTGCCCAGATGCTCCCCCGTTTGCAAGCTGTATTAAGTTATAGTAAGGACTGTTACCTCCTTTATGCTTGCTTTCCTGCTGCATGTATGTTTCCCTTCTTGTGCCCTGACCTTTTACCAAAGCATCAAATCTTTTTGTCCTTACAAAACTGCAGGCTCTCATGTGACAAGTTAAGCTGAGCTTGTGACATGGAGGTCTTGATTAGCTGTCCTAATGTCTGCACTTCTCTTTTATGGGCTGTATGCACTCTTCCACCCTGGTTAGCAAGGATCAGAGTTGCAAAAGTGTAAGCTTTGTAATTGGATCAGAAACTGCAGTTTTTTAAGGTGATACCCATGGTCAGGAGAAGTACCATTAAGTATAATTTTTTTTTTTGAACACATACGAAAACAATAACCCAATTGCTTTTAACGAGACTGCTGGTTTTTTGTGTGGTACAGCACCTGCTTCGACAGAGATTAGTTCTCATGTGGCTTAATTTCTTTACAAAGCATGAACTAAAGCTGGCACCAGAGGAGAAGATTTTACTACCATCATAACCAAATCTTACATTATTAGTTTTTCAGGGGTTTTTTTTTTACTGTTCTAAATATGCTATCATTTAAAGGTCTATAGGCGTGTTTGTGGTGTTCTCAAGAGCCTGCCAGGTGCTGTACGTCAGTATTTCACTCTGCCGTCGCCTGCGTGCTGTGTCTGGCCCAGGCAGCGCAATTTCAGCGCTGTTCTTGTGCTTGCTCACATCTACAGGCACAGTCATAGAGTCTTGACTGCTGAAGAATGGGGCCTTTTATTTGCAGCTTGCCAGAGTGAAGGTTCCTTTGGAAGTATAGACATGGGTGAGATAACATTTGAAATCGGTCAGTATTTTGAAACTTGTCTGTCTTACCTCTCTGACACTGTAATTTGAGTTAGGATTCAAAACCTGCTTATTGCTTTTAAAATACCCTATGATTCTGTGTCTCTATATACAGTTCACAAACAGTACGAAGTTAGGTTTTTTTAGTAATTTCACGTTTATTTTGTTTATTTTCGTTTCAGCTTGAGAAGGCGTTATCAAAAAAACTGGAGGATTTTGAAGGTATCAGTTGTGTTTAGTGTAACATATCACTAATTTGTTCAAAATGACATCAGTGATTGCTGAGTTTTATTTTTATTTCAACACCACAGGTGAAATATCGAGCTATCAAGATGAAATAGAGATTGAGTTAGAAAACAGTAGACCGAAAGCAAAAGGCGTATTTGCAAATTTCACTAAAGATGGTAAGTCTAGAAAGAGTTGTGGCTACTAAATAATAACGGGTTCAGAACCTGCAGGCAGTCTTAAGTGTATGAACTTTATTGTGATAAATGTGATCATATATATGCTTGCGTAGTACAAGATCTCTATTGTGTTGGGGTTCTCTCTGCCAATTAGTTGGTTCAAATATCAGTCTTCAAAACAACTACATTGTTCATTACAATGACAGTTCATTAATGATTTCAGTTGTTTTTCTTCCCTGGTGCAGTATAAGCTTGGCACTGGCACCTGAAAATGTTCCTTTTCATCATTGAAAGTGCAGTGGAACAGTATCTAGACCCTTCTGTCACCGAATCCCCCAGTTGACTAAGTGATACGGAAGGGCTTTGTGCTGGTTGAACGGGCTATTATACCACTAAGTAGCTGGCTTCTCTCGCAAAGCCCTTTTACCTGCCATAATTTGATAACACAATACTTCTATTTTAAATGATGACTGTATTCACAGAAATACATTTTACTAGCCAAGGTAATGAATTTGAAGAGCATCTGGAAACTCCATGTATTCATACATTGTACTAAAATATTGTGTATTTCTTCTACAGATTTCCTCTAAAGATTTTTATTCTTTAAGTGAGCGCCTCTTTATGTATTTAGTTTCTGTAACAGATGGTATGCAGTGATCTGTTGGGTTTTTTTTCTTCCCTTACAGATTCTATAGAAGATAATACCTCTAGCGTACTTGGAGAGGAGGAAGCAGAAGATGAGGAACTGGAAGCAGCTGCTAATCACTTAAACAAGGACTTCTATAATGAACTTCATGAGAAGGATAGAGTAAAAAAAAATGAAGATAGGGAATGCAAAAATGGAAATGAAGCTCTTGTAAGACCACCTGCACTGGAATCCTTGCTCGGCCCGCTCCCCACTGCAGCTAGTCTTGGCATAACAGAGTCCATAAAAGAGTGCATATCCACTAAGGACCGAGAGCCTGGTGAGTAGGAAATCAGTTCAGCTCAGAGTGGAAGCTGGACACATGCAGCCAGTTGTGGGTTTGTTGTGTAATTTCCGTGTGTCTTGATGGTTACTGTTGTGACAATTCCGTGAATCACTGTAACATCGAGGTACAAGAGCTGTGAGGTTGGATGAGACCAGCCTGGTTGTTGATGTTGGTCGTTGGCATCTGCTCCTCAGGAAGCTGCAGGAAAATCTGGAGTGCCTAATTATTTTCTGAAGCCTGAGAATGTATGTATCTCAGTCAAGTAGATTTGCAGTCATATGATAGCTGATTTCAAGCCATGCAGTCTCAATTAGGAAATTGGAGGAAGCGGATTTCTGTAACTATGACTGGGAATTAAAACCCAAGTGTGAGAATTTTAGATCAAGGCAGACTTTCTCAGGAGACATTTTACTGGAGTCAAACATGATGCAGTCTGTCTCTCTGATCGAGAATCTTTGCAAATGGCAAATATTTAGTATGTTTGTAAGAGGAAATAACTGGTTGTATGCTTTTTTCTTTGATATGGACTTTGGTGTGTGTTTTGGTGATTTTGCTCCATTTTTCTTAAAACTCCCAGATCTATCTGTATAGATATAGCTCAGTATAGTAGAGTGGGAGCAGGACTGATCAACTAAGGAAGCCAATTTTGCCAGAGCCATTAAGGCAGACAGTACTGCAAACAGCCAGTCGTCCAGGCAGATTTGTTTGCTTCTTCTTAGGTGTGCTTGAGCTTTATAGAGATGACTTTTTTAAAATTCCTTTTGCATCTTAATGACTCTGAGAACTGGACATATCTAAAGGGCATTTTATTCTTTATCGCAGTTAATTTTTCCATCGTAGGATACACTTGTCCAAATTTATTTTGTCAGCTTACTTGGGGGTCGATGCAGCAGAACATTTTATTATCCATACTGTTCTGATGCTAATTTCTGTTCAACAGCACCTACTTATAATAAGGTACTCCCTGCCTCAATAGATGTACTGAATGCATTCAGATTCTTACTATGTTAGGGTACACATCCCAGAAACGTAGCAGGATGATTGCACGTTTATATTTTGTACAAATGAAATCATATAGAAACAGTTAAGTGGTTTTGGTTTTGTTTTAATTACAATTAAGAAAATGGATGGCTCGTGGCTCATCTTTCTCCTGGAAATCAGCAGTTCATGTCGAAGAGAGGTCAGTAATGGCTAGAAGCTGTTGTTGTCTGACTACCCAATGACCTGTAAAAATGATTTCCCAGTGATGGGCGTTTCTCAGCTGGCATTGCTATTGACCATTTTAATGGACAAGCTGAGGACTGAGTTTAAAGACGAAACTAAGCTGGTGTAGCCAGGTATGTTGCTCTGAGTTGGGCTTCAGGCAGGTGGGCAGGAGAGTGCATGGCTGCTCATGCTATGGCTTGTCTGCAGTTGCTGTTTGTTTTCTTTCAAAAGTGGAAGATGTGCCAAATGAACTGAATTTCAAAACCAAATATGTTTCAGTATGTTCATTCTCTTTTAATGCATCTGAGAAATCATTGCAGGTGTTTGAACAAGTACTTATTTTCTTAACATGTTGTGAAGCTCATATGCCAAATTATTGTTTTGGTTTTATTTTGATTGTACATCCTGCCCCAAACTTTTTTTTTTTTTTTTTTTTGCAATGACTCTGCTAATTTATTTTAATCATTTAAAAGTTTCATGTTAAGTCAGATTCACTTTGGTTATGTTTGTACTGCGGGGTAGTTGTGCTGGGGTGCAGTTCCCAGTCTCCGAGCCCTTGCCACGTGGTGCCTGCGTGGTATGGGTGCACCACGGTGTGCGTGTGCATCATCCCCCTGAGGACCTGGTTCCCTTTGGGAAGTCATCTGGGTTCAGGAGCGGTAACGGAGCCTCGATGTGTTTTGGATGATCAGGAACCAGGTCTAGCAGGCTGGGAAGTACACCTGGCTTGCACTTGGTATGTTATTACACAGAATAAAGAAAACCTCTTGTTAAGACACCTCCCGTTGGTCACCTGTGCATCTTAGCTCTGAACCTGGATGAAAAACAGCGTAGATGTTTCTGTCACCTCAGGCAATGATGTCTTGAGTTCTGCCTCATAGCTCTGGGAAATCTGGGAAAGGTTTGTACCTGGAGGTAGTATCTTCTTCTATCAGGCCAACTGGTATAGTTGTAAAAATTAGATGATTTCTAGGTTTCTGGGCCCTTCTTCAAGTCTCAAAAAGAAATGGCAGTTTTCAAAACTAAATATAGGATGAGAGCAGTTGCTCAGAATTTAATTTGAGATGGCACAATTATACATCATCTTGAAACAAAGGTAGTTGGTACCTGTGGAGGGAAGAGGGAAACATCATAAAATTTCCTGAATTTATCCTGTGTATTTGAGTTTAGCGTAGTGCAATTTGTATTGTGAATCTCAGCTGGCCATAGGTTTGCTGTGGTATTTCATGTTCTAACACCTAAGTCTGTTGGAGAAGGCAGAGAGTCATCATAACATTGCACCCTTAAGGTGATGTTTTGGTCCTTCTCCAGAGCTGTGTAAGTCATAAACCAGCTTCCCCCCAGCGCTCTCCAACCCTGAATCATCTTCCACTGTGTGGACCATCTGGGTCAAGTTGGGCTGGAGACTTTAGTTGGGATGATTTTGTATCTCCTGCTGGCCTCCACGTGTTGTTGGATGGGTGTATTACGTCCGGTCAGTGCAGCGATTGGAAACGGCGTGCCTGGTGCTACATGGTGAGGATTCCCAGCAAACCCTCGTGGTGATATACTGCATGGTTGGGCAGGTGGCTATTAAGTAGGAGCTCAGCAAGCAGGTGCAGTATGTGCGATGTTTGACCTCTTATAATGCAGGGCATCTCCTCTCCTTTCTGTAATGATGTCTCTTCCTCCAAAAAACCTCTGCTGTAGGTATCTTCTACAAAGTCTTTTCATTTGGCTTTTGCATGTGGTAATTCAGTTTTTAATTGCCTACATCAGCTGCTTTGGGAAATCTTCCACCTTTGTGCTATGGCGGCTGCAGCAACAGCAGAAGGTTTCTCACAAACTGCTTATGCAGATAAGACTTAGGTGCAGAGCCCAAGTATTAAGAAAAATTTAGTGTATTTTTGCTCCACTTACAATTGGTGTTTGAGCAGTGTGAGCTTATCTGTATGAATGTTTTATGAAAAACATAGTATTTTAGGAAATTTGCATTACAAAGAGAGCATGTAAGGTACCGGGTTAATGAATCTGAGGCAGTAAAGTGCTTAGAATAAACACTACATTTGACTGTTTTTTTCCTACAAAGTGTATTAATTTGCAAAGACATTTAAGCTGAAATCTGTTTGAGTCCTTGCAAATGGCTTCTTTCTTATTCTTCATGATGAAAGTGCTTTATAGTGAGATCTGTTTCAGAGATGGAGATCGGGTACACCAGTCTGTCCGTTTTCCTGGCTGTGCAGCGTCCCAGCATCCTCTCCACGCTCTACGTCCTTTTTCTGATTCTGCAGTTCCTCAAAACAGGGCACCTTTTCCTTTAGGAGACTGCCACAGTCCAATATCATGGACTCCATTCTCAGGAAATAACATTCTTTGGTGTAAAATTTCCCTTTGCAATTTATTTTTATGTCCTTTTTATACCACTTCAAATATTTTATCATCTTTCTTAGTGTTTCTGGCCTTCTGATGTTTGCTGGCTGTCACCCTGTCCTTCCCTTGTCACACTGCTAGGCTGTACACCTCCAGTTCATCTCTTCTTGCCACATAAATCAGAAGTCATAAACTTAATTCTGGCCAGGGCTAAAAGTGAGGAAGATCTGATAATAACAGAGATAAAGGTAAAATACAGGGTGTAAGTTACCAACTGACTTTATATAACTTCCCCTTCATAATCTAGGTGCTGTTTGAGGCCTGATTTAGTTTTTGTTTCAAATCAAAATTCACATGCAGTCACTTAGGGCAGTAGTTTCAAATAATGTATGTGAAGTGGGTGGTAACACGCTCCTGCACGTCCTCATGAAAGTAAGCGGCTTTTGCAGTGAGCAGTTACCGTGCATGTACCATCTTGTGCTTGTTTAGGCACCCAGCTAACTGCATTCACTGCTAATTTCACAAAGAATACATGAGAAAGGTTTTGTGCTTGTTCATAATTAATAGTTTGCTCATTTATTACTCCTTGTATTTATGCCTCCATTACTGCTGCAGGCGTACTCTGACACGGGCTGAGGTCGGAAGATGTTGCCATTGATTTCTGTGGGTGTTAAAGACCCCATGCAGATAGGGTTCATTGATTGAATAGTTGTCGTCCCTGCGTACCAGCGCTTTTCAACTTCTTACTCAAGGAGGACGTGAAAAGTGGCTGAAGATGAAGTTATACGAGACAGGGATGGGCTCATCCTCCAGGGTCTTACTCTTTTCCTCCAGATTTCATCCCCCTCACCCTACCAGCAGCCAGCTCCCGCTTCATACCTTGTCCTGGCCCTGAGGCTTGCCCCATCCCTCCGTGAGCAGACTCAGCTCCCTAACCCAGCGAGGAAAAATGCATGCGTGCATGATCCCCTTTCTTTTTTTGGCAGCAGCAGACGACCAGTGCCAGCAGCACTGCAGGCAGGGAAGTTTGCAGAAACGTGACATTTCTAGCAGGGTCCAAGCTGCCGTGGAAGGATGCTTAAGGGCCCACAGGCTGCAAACAGCTGGAGAAGGGCTGTTGGCAGCGCGTGTGCCCAGGAGGGTTGTTTGCCCCATCCATGAGCCCCAGCCCGGATTGCTGCGTGGCAGGGGGCACGCTCACTGCTCTTGCCCTTGCTGCTCCATCAACGGATGGGTGTTCACCTCCTCTGTGTGCTGGTTTCTTCTGGCATCCTCCTTTCTTCCTCAGATTTTTTCTGAGTACGTCAGTGCCAACTGTTTGAAAATGTATAAATGTATATGTGCATATAAAAGTATACAAAAAGATATAATCAGTAATTAGAGAGAACATTCTGAAGCCCTATTAAATCATAATTACTGCATACATGAGACATAAAGCT